CTGCTTTAGAACTACTTGAATATGTCTGTTAAAAGTGAGATATTTTTGATATAATGCCGTTTTGCCTTCTTCCTCTTAAAGCTGCGTGCGTTTACTGCTTGCGAGCTACTTGAATGTTTCTGACATAAGTGCGATATTTTTGATATGCTGATATGCTGCTGTTTTGCCTTCTTTCTCTGTGAAAGCTGCGTGAGTCTACTGCTTGAGAGCTACTTGAATGTTTCTGAGAGAAGTGAGATACTTTTGATATGCTGCTGTTTTGCCTTCTTTTTCGGCGAAAGCTGCGTGAGTTTACTGCTTGCGAGCTACTTGAATGTTTCTGACATAAGTGCGATATTTTTGATATGCTGATATGCTGCTGTTTTGCCTTCTTTCTCTGTGAAAGCTGCGTGAGTCTACTGCTTGAGAGCTACTTGAATGTTTCTGAGAGAAGTGAGATACTTTTGATATGCTGCTGTTTTGCCTTCTTTTTCGGCGAAAGCTGCGTGAGTTTACTGCTTGCGAGCTACTTGAATGTTTCTGACATAAGTGCGATATTTTTGATATGCTGATATGCTGCTGTTTTGCCTTCTTTCTCTGTGAAAGCTGCGTGAGTCTACTGCTTGAGAGCTACTTGAATGTTTCTGAGAGAAGTGAGATACTTTTGATATGCTGCTGTTTTGCCTTCTTTTTCGGCGAAAGCTGCGTGAGTTTACTGCTTGCGAGCTACTTGAATGTTTCTGACATAAGTGCGATATTTTTGATATGCTGATATGCTGCTGTTTTGCCTTCTTTCTCTGTGAAAGCTGCGTGAGTCTACTGCTTGAGAGCTACTTGAATGTTTCTGAGAGAAGTGAGATACTTTTGATATGCTGCTATTTTGCCTTCTTTCTGTGTGAAAGCTGCGTGACTTTACAGCGTGCAAGCTACTTGAATATTTCTGACATCAGCGGGATATCTGTGATATGCTGCAGTTTTGCTGTTATTCTCTGTGAGAGCTGTGTGAGTTTGCTGCTTGAAAGCTACTTGAATATTTCTGACATCAGCGAGATATTTTTCGATATGCTTCTGCTTTGCCTTCTTTCTCTGTGAGAGCTGCGTGAGCTTTCTGCTTTAGAAATACTTGAATATTTCTGACAAAGTAAGAAACTTTTGATACCCTGCTGTTTTGTCTCTTTCTCTGTGAAAGCTGCGTGAGTTTACTGCTTTAAAACTACTTGAATATTTCTGACACAAGTGAGACATTTGTGATATGCATTTGTTTTGCCTTCTTTCTCTGTGAAAGCTGCGTGAGTTCTGATTGAGAGCTACTTGAGTATCTCTGACACAAGTGAGATGTTTTTGTTATGCTTCTGTTTCTCCGTCTTTCTCTGCGAAAGCTGCGCGAGTTTTCTGCTTGAGAGCTACTTGGGTATTTCTGACACAAGTGATTTTTTGTGATATGCTTCTGTTTTGTCTTCTTCCTCTGTGAAAGCTGCGTGAGTTTTCTGCTTGATAGCTACTTGAGTATTTCTGACACAAGTGAGACATTTGTGATATGCTTCTGTTTTGCCTTCTTTCTCTTAAAGCTGCGTGCGTTTACTGCTTGCGAGCTACTTGAATGTTTCTGAGATAAGTGCGATATTTTTGATATGCTGATATGCTGCTGTTTTGCCTTCTTTCTCTGTGAAAGCTGCGTGAGTCTACTGCTTGAGAGCTACTTGCATGTTTCTGAGAGAAGTGAGATATTTTTGACATGCTGCTGTTTTGCCGTCTTTTTCACCGAAAGCTGAGTGAGTTTACTGCTTGAGAGCTACTTGAACTTGAATATTTCTGACATCGATATATTTTTGATAAGCAGTTGTTTTGCCGCCTTTCTCTGTGAAAGCTGCGCGAGTTTACTGCTTGCAAGCTAGTTGAATATTTCTGACATCAGTGAGATATTTTTGGTATGCATTTGTTTTGCCTTCTTTCTCTGTGAGAGCTGCGTGAGTTTACTGCTTGAAAGCTACTTGAATAAATATTTCAGCTTTTTTTGATTTGCTTCTGTTTTTCCGTCTTTCTCTGCGAAAGCTGCGCGAGTTTGCTGCTTGAAAGCTACTTGAATATTTCTGACATAAGTGAGATATTTTTGATAACCATTTGTTGTGCCTTCTTTCTCTGTAAAAGCTGGGCGCGTTTATTGCTTGAAAGGTACTTGAGTGTTGCTGACAGAAGTCAGATAGTTGTTTATATGCATCTATTTTGCCTTCTTTCTCTGTGAAAGCTGCAGTGAGTTTACTGCTTTAGAACTACTTGAATATGTCTGTTAAAAGTGAGATATTTTTGATATAATGCTTTTTGCCTTCTTTCTCTTAAAGCTGCGTGCGTTTACTGCTTGCGAGCTACTTGAATGTTTCTGACATAAGTGCGATATTTTTGATATGCTGATATGCTGCTGTTTTTCCTTCTCTCTCTCTGTGAAAGCTGCGTGAGTCTACTGCTTGGGAGCTACTTGAATGTTTCTGACATAAGTGCGATATTTTTGATATGCTGATATAATGCTGTTTTGCCTTCTTTTTGGCCGAAAGCTGCGTGAGTTTACTGCTTGACAGCTACTTGAATATTTCTGACACCGATATATTTTTGATAAGCAGTTGTTTTGCCTTCTTTCTCTGTGAAAGCTGCGTGAGTTTATTGCTTGCAAGCTACTTGAGTATTTCTGACATCAGCGAGATATTTTGATATGCATTTGTTTTGCCTTCTTTCTCTGTGAGAGCTGCGTGAGTTTACTGCTTGAAAGCTACTTGAATAAATATTTCATCTTTTTTTGATATGCTGCTGTTTTGCCTGCTCTCTCTGTGAAAGCTGCGTGAGTTTACTGCTTTAAAACTACTTGAATATTTCTGACAAAAGTGAACTATTTTTGATATGCTGCTGTCTTGTCTCTTTCTCTGTGAAAGCTGCGTGAGTTTACTGCTTGAGAGCTACTTGAGTATTTCTGACACAAGTGAGACATTTGTGATATGCTTCTGTTTTGCCTTCTTTCTCTGTGAAAGCTGCGTGAGTTTTCTGCTTGAGAGCTACTTGAGTATTTCTGACACAAGTGAGACATTTGTGATATGCATCTGTCTTGCCGTCTTTCTCTGTGAAAGCTGCGTGAGTTTACTGCTTGAGAGCTACTTGAGTATTTCTGACACAAGTGAGACATTTGTGATATGCATCTGTTTTGCCTTCTTTCTCTGTGAAAGCTGCGTGAGTTTTCTGCTTGAAAGCTACTTGAGTATTTCTGACACAAGTGAGACATTTGTGATATGCTTCTGTTTTGCCTTCTTTCTCTGTGAAAGCTGCGTGAGTTTACTGCTTGAGAGCTACTTGAGTATTTCTGACACAAGTGAGATATTTTTGATATGCATCTGTTTTGCCTTCTTTCTCTGTGAAAGCTGCGTGAGTTTACTTTTTGAAAGCTACTTGAATATTGCTCACATCAGCGAGATATATTTGATATGCTGCTGTTTCGTACAACGATCCGTCGGGTAATTCAAGAATACTCCATGAATCAATTGAATCAATGCCTCATGGAGTCCCAGGCATGGTCCATGTCCAAAGCACACCGCTGCGATCAGTTCTGATGTTCTCCACCATGCGTAGGGAGGGCAAGCTATCAAGCGCTTGATATGGCGTGGCTTCAAGATCCCTCTAGGTGGACAGATTGCCGCATGACTGATGGCGGTTTACATGCGCACGTGCATACAGACAAAAGCAATGTCACACCAGCGAAAGTGTTGAATGTTAACGCGCACGCACACACACGCACGCGCACACACACACAGACACAGACACAGACACAGACACAGACACACACACACATCAAAAGATACGAACAAGTAGGATGGGAAGTACTGTCACAGACAACACAGTGCAGACCACAGCATCACATGCTTACGAAAGGGGCCGAAAGGTCAGAGGGTTTCAATTTTGTCACAACGTCACGAATGCGTAGCCAAAGGTTTACCTTTAAAATCGGAATCTGGGTGGACCGTGTTCGCCCGACTTCGTATTGTGCCCGCAACAAAAAAGTATCCCACAACAGCACCGAGGACTCTTACAAGAACGGTCTCACAAACGCCTTGCGCAATACGTAGTGATGTAGTGTCCAACAAGAGCGTCTTGCAAGGGTGTCACCACAGTCTCTGACATCCCAAAAGAGTCCCTTAGTGTTCCGAGAAAGTGTCCTGAGCGTTCAAGAAGTTACCACAAAAGTATCTCATTTTGACCCCACGAGTGTCTTACAAGAGTGTCTCGCACACAAGTCTCCTACGGAGGTGTCAAGAAAGAGTGTCTTTCCGGACCAGGAGTGCCCCACAGAGTGAAAACCATCTCACAAACAATGTTTGCTAAACCTGTGAGTAACGCCAAAAAATCATATCTCCTTTCAAGCATTAGTTTGCAATGGAATTATTGCATTCCTGTAGGTTCATGGCTGCCGGTTGGTTTTTGTTAAAAAGGATCACCGAGGGCGTATCTCAGTCTCGTCAAACCACAATGCGAATCGTTTTGAGATGTGAATCCGTTTTGAGTGTCGAAACGGTTCTATGAAGATTTCGAATCCGAAACTCTTTGAAGTTTTCGAATTCGAGTTTGGTCGATTTTGAGTCATTTCAAATCCGCCCTCCCCATGGATCGGCCAACTGACGCTTTGACGCTGCATGCGCTGCCTTGAGGTGCACGAAGGAGACAAGTTGGCGCACTACGCCCGTGCGTGTACGGACATCGTTTTTAGGCCGTCCAAAGTCAAGGAATTCGTTTGGAGCATTGGATTTCATTGATTTCATTGGGTGTTCTTTGTAGATGTTTGCAAAGATCATCTCTTCCACTTTTCCTCCCATGTAGTTCCAATCCCCTTGTCGTGAGTCGTCAGACAGCAACTGTGATTTGGTTGGTGCCAAATGCCAAATCAAGTACGTTCAGCCGTACCACATAGAGATTTGTTCTGATTTTTAGTTTGAAACCCTTGTTTTTCTCTCTTTGCTTTCTTTCTCCTGAGTTTCTTCTATGTTTAGCCTGAAAGAGTGAAACACCCAACTTTGCAACTTTGCCTCTTTTGCTTGGCTGGTTTTGACATCCCCTGACATTCACAGAACTGACATTCACATTCATTCGCCATGTTCTCGAAACAGAACTGTACTTTGAGTGGTCCTCTCTGCTTCTATGCACATGTGCACATAATATGTACATTGTAACATTTTGCACATGTTCAACACATACTGCACGTTTTCAACGAATCAAGTCGTTTTAAGAACTCGCGGCCAACAACCGTGGCCTTCCGTGGCCTTCCGTGGCCTTCCGTGGCCTTCCGTGGCCTTCCGTGGCCTTCCGTGGCCTTCCGTGGCCTTCCGTGGCCTTCCGTGGCCTTCCGTGGCCTTCTGCCAGGTATCCTTTCGGGACCCAGGAACTCCTTGGAGTCGCTGCGCGTGGAGAGTGGGGAGCTCGGAACCGAGCTCATGGCGGTTGACAGTTGACAGTTGTAAAATGAAGTGTCAACAAAACCATAAAAACTTATTAAAACAAATTTCATTTTACACGGTTGACATGTTCATTGACATATTCACGTCACATGGTGTGGAGTCTCATTAGACACGTCATGACACGTCAATGAATGACACACAGACATGGTGTCATGGTGTCAATGCCACGTTACAGGCTTTGCTTAATCTTGCGTGTCTTGCGCGTCTTGCGTGTCTTGCGCGTCTTGCGCGTCTTGCGCGTCTTGCGTGTCTTGCCTGTACGTGTCATGCCACCTGTCTTTGGTGTTTTATCGCGTGTTACGCTGCGTGTAACGTGCATCCATATCATACACGTTTGCCATTGGGATCCACGACCCACGTGGGCCATTGTGGATATGAAGAAAATGCTCTGTGACGCAGACTCTGTTTATCCTAAGATAATCTAAGATATCCTAAGGCATGAAGTAAGCATTGTGTGATGTCCAGTGATGTCCAGGTCATTGTAGGTCATTATTGTTGATTTGATGATCATAGTCATTTAGTCATTTAAATTGGTCTTCATTTGATGTTTATTTGGACGCGTGGCATCTTACAGAAGACTGGAAACTTCAACGTGTTTGCTGGACAGGTTGCTCCACATGCTGTTATCGCAATAATTAGTTGCCTCTCTTTCATCTCCGCATTTTCATGGCCAGGTACGATCTGCAGCAACATGCAAAAGCCAGTGGAGAGAGTCTGGAATATCAGGCACTGGTCCGCTGTTTTTTAAATGTGACTTTGATACACGGTAAGAAAGCGAGGGCAAGTCTGCCAAAAGCAAAACTAGGTTAGAAAGATGATTGCCAAGACAAGTTGTCACCAAATACAACCTTTCGGACAAAGACTTAGAAGAGAGGGTTTGATGGCTGAACAAAGCTCGAATCAGAAACTAGCCGCGAATCAGCAACAAAGAATCAGAAACTAAAACCCGCGAATCGGAAACTGAGAATCAGAAACCCAAATCCGCGAATCGGAAACCAAACAAGCCCACGAACCAGATTCAAAAACCGCGAATCAGAAATCCAAAACCCCACGAAACAGAAACCACAAATACGACAAGGGATAAATACCGCCACCCCCTTTGAACAATATATTGATGTACGTATATTTATATATGTATATATATATATATGTATTGAAAGGGCTATTTCAAGTTATCTTCATAAGTGATCAAATCCGCCACCCTCCCTGAACAATATGCTTAGAGTATGCTTAATGGGGTATCACTTTCAACGTTTTTCAAACAGGATCCAATCCGCGAATCCTCCAGAAAAAATGGGTTGCATGGATATCACCTCCAACCTAGCCTAGCTTCAGACTCAAATCCGCCACGTCCTCTGAGCAATATATTCTGCATGAGGTATTAGACTCAACTTTTTCGGTGCAACCCTGACGTTGCTCCGCGCCTGAATCGTGGAAGGGTTGCAAACTTTTGAAGTTCGCCAAAAGTGGAATGTCAAAATTCACATCATTCATCATCGTCATCATCATCAACAACATCATCATCATCATCAACAACAACATCATCGTCGTCACCAAAATCATATTCATGTCAATTATCATCAGCATCATCATCATCATCATCTTCTTCTTCATCATCATCATCATCAGAAACATCGTCATCACAATCAAATTCAAAATCATATTAATGTACATTCATCATCCCCATAATCATCACGAAGATAGAGTTGATGCTATCACCCCATTCAACATATTGTTCAGAGGGGGTGGCGAATTTTGATCCCTCATGAAGATAAAGTTGATGTTATTACCCCAGGCAACATATTGTTCAGAGGGGTTGCAAATTTTAATGTGATGATGAGCATGATGTCATGCTGTGATGATGGTGATGATGATCATGATCATGGCGACTGTAAGTGTGGAGCAACGTCCAGGTTGGGCGGAACTTTTTCATAAGGGATTAAATCTGGCCCCCTCAGTAAAAACCCTTCTGCAATTCATTCCCGGTACTCCGCCGGTGAAGTGCTTCAATGAGGTGAGACCAGTTGTGAATGCTTTCCAAAGCATAGGGCTTGGTTTCTCATCCGCAGGGTTTAGTTTCCGATTCAGCGGTGGTGGCCGACTCAAAGGCTTTGGTTTCATTCAGTGTTTTTAGTTTCCGATTAATGGGTTTTGGTTTCCGATTATTGGCTTGACCGATGATTGAGACAAAGTGACACAAAGTTAAAATACTTTGAGAAAAAAGTTTGAGATAAGAGAGCCATAAAAATCATAAAAGAGAGAAAAGTTGACGTTTTTTGCCTCGAAAGGTGGCCTTGTTTTTTTGCACCTGGTTTTCTTCGGTTTCTTTCGAGAGGTGCCAGGGCAGAAGCGAAAGTTTGTACCGCACGTCATCGAGCCGTCCCTAGGCGCACGGCGGCACGACACGGCGACAGTCACGGAATGCAACGAATGAAAGATTTCTGAAAGACATGTTTGACACATTTTAAGGAGTTATATAAATTTATCGAAGGGCGTTTAGAGGTCAAACTTCCGACAATATGGACAGATGAAAAGCAGAGGTGGAGCAGAAGAATAGAGAAGAGAAGAGCAGAAGAGAGAAGATCAGAGAAGAGAAAGCGTCAGAAGAAAGAAGATGCAGGAGCGCGAAAAGGTAGGAAAGTCGCGAAAAATTGTGTTTTTCCAATGATTTGTGGCTCCAGAGGGTCGAAAAGTAGGCTCGCTAAAGCGGCGGGTGCGGAGCCATCTGACCAGATGAGAGATGAAAAATTGCACGCCGTTGTGGCGCGAAGCACATTTCCAAGTCAAAATGTACAAAGCACACTAGGTCCCGACCACTTTTGGAGGTTGGGATGTCGAACAGGCGCACGCCGTTGCGGCGCGAAGCACATTTGGAGGTCAAAATGTTAAAAGCACCACATGTTTGCACCACTTTTGGATGTTCGGATGTCGTTTCGCGTGGCAGGCGCAAGGGATTGTGGACTTGGTCAAAAGTGAGCAAAACGTGAGGGTTTTGTGGCATTTCCAACAAAAATGGCAGGCGTGGGACATTTGAAGAGGATCTGCAAAGATGCAAGGCGCAGTACAAGAGACATGTTCATCAGAGCTGTTAGGAGGTCTGGGCGCTGATGTCTTGAGACAGGTTGCATTTTGGAGCCTCAGATCTTCAGGTTTGCTGAGATGATTTTGCGTGACAGGTGCAGCACTTCGTATGACCTGGCATCACTTTTTCGTGGCAGGCGCAGTAGTTTAGACAGATGGACTGGAAAAATCGCAAAACGCATTGGTACGAGGCCGTCAGCTCTGCACTCACCTTTCCATTTTTGAAGGACGTCTCGCCGTCTCGCAGAATTTTCGTCGTTTTTGATGTTGTCAAATTCAATTGAGGAAGTCTCGCAGGCTTGCTTCGTTTTTGATGTTGTCAAGTTTAAAAACTGAGGAAGTCTCGCAGAATCCCTTCGTTTTCAAGGTTGCTGATAGACAGATAGATAGAGAGACAGCTACAACTACAAGTACCACTACACTACACTACTACTCCAACTACAAGTACAAATATATTACGCTACATTACACAACACCAATTACACTCCGCTGTACTAATTACATCCAATTACACTACACTACACAAATTACATTACAACTACTACAACCACCACTTGCATGCCCACTCCCACTCCCACTACCACTACTACTACCACCAACACCACCACCACCACAGCAACAACTACGATTACAGCTACACTACATTACACTACAATACGCTAATTAAACTGCAGTACATTACGGCTACAAATACAACTACAACTACACTACAGTACACAACATTACACTACACTAATTGCATTGCATTACACTGCAACTGCAACTACCACTACATTAAACTACACGACACCACACTACAATTACAACTGCACTACTTTGCACTACAATACACTAGACCACACCGCACTATACCACGCTACAGTACACAACACTACAGTACACTACAATACACTACACTAATTACACCACACCACAAATACAACTGCAACTGCAACTACACTACACTAATTACACTACATTACAGCTACAACTTAAAACCACAGCTTAAAACCGCAACTCCACTACAAGTACAACTACACCTACAACTACAACTACAACTGCACTACACCACACTACATCCAGGAGTTGCGGTGAGGTGACCACTGCAACCATTGCAACCACTCCAGAAAACACTGCCATCCGTGATTCACAACAACTAACCTCTCCTACATGTTTCCAATTTTTGAAACTTCCGCCACCGCCTTGTGCGGTACTACCGGTAGTGAGTTTTATGGAATTTTAACACATGATTGACACATGTCTGACACATGTGTGACACATGATTGACGCACGTCTGACACATGTGTGACACATGTTTGATACATTTTGACACATGTTTGGGACATTGTGACACGTTTGGACACATGTTTGGTACATTTTGCCACATGCGTGACCATTTTGACACATGATTGACACATGCTTGGCACATGTTTGACAAATGTTTAACACATGTTTCACACGTTTTGACACATGTTTGGCAAATGATTGACACATGTCTGACACATTTTGACACACTTTTACACATTTTGACATATGTTTAAGACATGTTTGACTGTTTTGACACATGTGTGGCACATGTTTATCATGTTTGACACATTTTGACACATTGGTGGGTCAATGTAAAAACCTATTATAACAACTGTGTTTGACATGTTTGAAACGCGGGCGACGCTTTTGGGGTGAAACACGATTGAAGCTGACCGGGTCACAACTGTTGCTATTTCTTTCAGGTATATTTTAAAAAACATCACGTCTGTTACCTCTCTTTGCGTAATGTTGACACGATGGCTTTTTGTAGAAATCCACCACCTACAGCTATCAACTGACATATGTCATATGTCCTCATACGCCTTGATATGTCTGACATACGCCTTGACATTGTCTTTATGGCTTTGCTGTGCCCAGTCCACATCTTCTAATGTAGCACTGACATTCTGGGACCGTTCAACGCCACCAAGGCCATGCCACGTCATGATATGAGTAAGGCAATGTAAGACACAAACATTGTCCGAATACATAAAAATAAGTACAAACTATAGTAAATATAGTGTAATTTGCTAATCTACGTAATTGTTATTCGTAAAGATTCTATACTATATTTGTATTATATGTGTATTTACATGTAATGTGTATATTTTGATATTATATTTATATGAAATGTATACTATATATGATTAAATAAAGTATTCGTTTTTTAAAATGCCCGTAATTTAATATACGTGTATAAATATATATACTATTTATGAAATGTATATGTTTCATAAAACCATAAAACCCGTTGTTTTCGTTTCTCGATCGCTGCCAGGCATCGACCGCTTGTTCTTAGCGCTGCTTTGTAGCGCATACGATGAAGATGAGATCGATGGCGACAAGCGCTCCGTGTTAAGGCAACGAATAAAGGAAGGAAACGAGAAAAATAAACATTAAAAAATATACAAACATATATTATATGCCAGAATTCACCATGCATGGAAAGATCAAACAGGCTTGGGAAATCGGGAAAAAGGACAAAAATGCGTGCAGTCAATGGTGGAGACCAGTTTAGAACATCGCCACCAGCCAAACTATAGTTGTGTGTGGTGGCTTATGTTCTAAGACCATATGCGGACGACCTAAAACGGCGATATTCTCACTTCTGGGTATCTCGTTTTGGAAACGCCGGCGATATTCTAACTTTCGGTCAGTCGCTATATACATACATATATATATATAAATAAATAAATAAATATATATATATATCATATATCATATATACATGACACTGCATAACAAGAACATGATAAATTCAATAATATTGAGAAACCATGAGAAACGAGAAAAAACATTGCAAAAACGAATGGTTTTTGGTGAACTGTGGGTGGGATGACTTTGGACTTTGTGACCTGTTTTGGTCCAGTGAACTCGGAGGATGATGCCGAAGAGTCAGAATGGAGCAGGAAATGGCAGGAAGATAAAGTCCCTCAATGGACATGTCTCTCTCTATTCCAACAATTTCTCGTGTTTCTGGCCATTGAGAGATGTTGACAGGTTCTTGCAGGGAGAGTCTAAGTAAGTTTCTCATTTCCCTGGATGGGAAATATGTTGGTTTGGGAATGTTGAGGACAATAGAATGAAGATGAGTCGTTGAATCAGGGACTGTCTCAGTGATTTGATATCTAAAACTTTCAGGGTGCCAGCATGATTTCGAGATGTTTCGATGGGGTTTCGATTTCCGCGCGAAGCGTGCCGCAGGTTCCATCCCTGTGTGGCGCCAATCACCTGCGCCATCTTCCCCTTGCTGAAGAACAAGCCACCCTTGGTCAACAAGGACAGGTCGCTGTCAGAAAATGACCCGAATGATTCATTTAAATGACAGACGGATACAGATGGCAAAGCTTCCAAGATGGCCTCAGCATGCATATACATTGTAGATCATGGTAGATCATTCTAGATCAATCAGATTAGGTTCGGTTAGATTCGAGAAATTGAGTGACCCTAAGGAGAGGCTGAAAATAAGTCATGCAAAGTTCTGTTTTGCAAAGCCTCTTTCCTTTCCCCTTCTCTATCGTCATGATCGTCCTTGGTTGTTGCGGTGGTGACTGCGACCGCTGCCGCTGTCGCTGCGGCTGGTGGTCCACTTGGTTGTGATGACGGCGTTCTGCCCTGTCCTTGCTGTCCCTTGCTGTCAAGCCTTGCCGTTTGCACTGTCTTCCACTGCAACGCCGAGTCCATGCCTTGGGTGATGGAAAGGTTTGATCATGTTCTCGTCTTCTTGAAACATCCTGAACGAGTTGCGACATGCTTGAACATATTGCGAATGATTTTTGGCACGTGCTGACTCATGTTTCCTCCATGTTTCTTCCATTTTTCTGAATGTTTCTCCATTTTTGCCGTGTGTTTGCCGCGTGGTTGTTTTTCGGTGCATCATGGTGCATCGCACATTGCATGCGCACACATCGCATGGCACAGGCCAAAGGCTTGGCATCGATGCTTCGGACACGTGGTTTCAATGTGCTCTACGACGAGGCGGTGAGCACGTCACGGGCACGGCGCGTGAGACACGCACGAGAACCCGAGGACCGTGTTCCACAGGCACTGCACGTTGTGGTAGCATGTTGTAAGACTTGTAAGACCTGTGGAACACGGTAACACGTCAGTTCCAGGGTGTGTACACGGTGTGTACACGGTGTGTACACGGTGTGTAGGATATTCCACAAGGCCTTTGAAGCCTGTTGCAAGGACGTGCAAGGACGGCCCAGAATTCTCAACTTGTTTCAAAATAAGACGCGTTTGCGACTTGTGGAAAGGGAGAGTTCTATTGCCTGGATGGAGACGGCATTTTTTTGTTGCCTGCTGCTCATGGTGTCACCAGTCATCACTAGTCACTAGTTTGTGACATTTGCCACACTCTGCATGTAGTTGGTAATGCAAAACCGGGAAAAATAGCAGATACGAATTTAAAATAATACGAACACATAAATTACAGTAAAAAACGAACAAGTGATATATTCCCCACCTGCCAGGTGAGGGTTGTTAGATTTTATCACAGTTGTTCTCCTCCTTCTCCTCCTTCTCCTCCTCCTCCTCGTCCTCCTCCTTCTCCTCCACCACCTCTGCCTCCGCTTCCACGTCCACTTCCGCCTTGCCAACTCTTCGCCAATCTCTTCGCCAACTTCCGCGCGCAGTGGGCACTGCTGGACCTCAACTGCCAGGTTCCGATCGCAGTGGGCACCGCTGGACCTCAACCAAAACCTTCCGAGCCCAGTGGGCACCGCTGGACCTCAACGGGACCTTCCGAGCTCAGTGGGCACCGCTGGACCTCAACGGGACCTTCCGAGCTCAGTGGGCACCGCTGGACCTCAACCTGGGACCTTCCGAGCTCAGTGGCCACCGCTGGACCTCAACGGCCAGATAGAATGCCAGAAGATATGCCAGATAGAACGCTAGAAGATTTGCCAGATAGAATGCCAGATAGAATTCCAGAAGATATGCCAGATAGAGTGCCAGATAGAATGCCAGAAGATATGCCAGATCGAGTGCCAGAAGATATGCCAGATAGAATGTCAGATAGAATGCCAGAAGGTATGCCAGATAGAATGTCAGATAGAATGCCAGAAGGCATGCCAGATAAAGTGCCAGAATGTCTGCCGGATAGAACGCCAGAAGATTTGCCAGATAGAATGCCAGATAGAATTTCAGAAGATAGAGTGCCAGAAGATATGCCAGAACATATGCCAGTAGATATGCCAGGTAGAATGCCAGAATATATGCCAGATAGAATGCCAGAAGATATGCCAGATAAAATGCCAGAAGAGATGCCAGAAGATATGCCAGATAAAATGCCAGAAGATATGCCAGATAAAATGCCAGATAGAATGTCAGATAGAATGCCAGAAGGTATGCCAGATAGAATGCCAGAAGATATGCCAGATAAAATGCCAGAAGATATGCCAGATAGAGTGCCAGAAGATTTGCCAGATAGAATGCCAGAAGGTGTGCCAGAAGATGTGCCAGATAGAGTGCCAGAAGATATGCCAGAACATATGCCAGAAGATATGCCAGGTAGAATGCCAGGAGATATGCCAGATAGAATGCCAGAAGATATGCCAGATAAAATGCCAGAAGGTATGCCACAAGATATGCCAGATAGAATGCCAGAAGGTATGCCAGATAGAATGTCAGATAGGATGCCAGAAGGCATGCCAGATAAAGTGCCAGAATGTTGCCAGATAGAACGCCAGAAGATTTGCCAGATAGAATGCCAGAAGATGTGCCAGAAGATATGCCAGATAGAGTGCCAGAAGATATGCCAGAACATATGCCAGAAGATATGCCAGGTAGAATGCCAAAAGATATGCCAGATAGGATGCCAGAAGATATGCCAGATAAAATGCCAGAAGATATGCCAGATAAAATGCCAGAAGATATGCCAGATAGAATGTCAGATAGAATGCCAGAAGGTATGCCAGATAGAATGCCAGAAGGTATGCCAGATAAAGTGCCAGAATGTTTGCCAGATAGAATGCTAGAAGATTTGCCAGATTGAATGCCAGAAAGTATGCCAGATAGAATGCCAGATAGAATGCCAGAATGTTCGCCAGATAGAGTGCCAGAAGATATGCCAGGTAGAATGGCAGAAGATATGCCAGAAGATATGCCAGATAAAATGCCAGAAGGTATGCCAGATAGTAGAATGTCAGATAGACTGCCAGAAGGTATGCCAGATAAAGTGCCAGAATGTTTGCCAGATAGAACGCCAGAAGATTTGCCAGATAGAATGCCAGATAGAATGCCAGAAGATGTGCCAGAAGATGTGCCAGATAGAGTGCCAGAAGATATGCCAGATAGAATGCCAGAAGATATGCCAGGTAGAATGCCAGAAGTTATGCCAGATAGAATGCCAGATCGAATGCCTGAAGATATGTCAGATAGAATGCCAGAAGATTTGCCAGTAACAAAACGTATAAATGTCATGGTGGAGATCACTCGAAGTAAAGTAATAATATGCCACACTCTGCATGTAGTTGGTAATGCAAAACCGGGAAAAATAGTAGATATGAATTTTAAATACAGTAATACGAACAAATAAATTACAGTAAAAAACGAAAAATTATATATTTAAATTATTGCAATTATTTTAAGATTGTGTTTTGTTCAGCTGTGCATTGTGCTTTTATATTTTTGCAGGCAGGCACTATTGGGAAGCGATACCGACGTATGGACGAGGCGACCGCCGATATCGACGGAAACATTTTGGTTTTCTAGAACGGTTTTGTCGTCCGAAGTCGACATTTTTGTATTTCAATTGGATTGGAATATGGATTGGAATGGATTGGAATACTACTGGAATCCAGTTTTGCAAACAGGATTTCGAATCTTCATTCGCACTTTGGTGTGCTGTATTGGAATGGCCCAATGTGCTGTTTCACCTCCATCCGAACATGAATTCGATGATCGACTTCTCAGAACATCTCAGAACGACCTGTTCGTGGCATCCCTCGTCGTCACTCCGACCTCATTTTCCCGTTCGCAAAGCTACGTAGTACCTACTTCTTCCTCGATAACGCCAACACTTTGCGCAGGGCGTGTGCAATGCGATACTCTTCTGGATTTGAAACGTAAACTCCCTCTGACACGCACACACACACATGCATGTGCCGAAATGTTGGTTGCATATTTTTGAGATGTTCCAGGTTGTCCTGAAGGAAACACAAATCTTGCTGTGGTGTTTCAGTTGTGTGGTGGATGTCGCAGATTTTGGGGCGATGCGGCTGTTGCGCTGGGTATTGTGGCAGCGTGAGAATAATGTTGCCACATGGACGGCATGACGGTTGACACATGTTAACACTGTTTTCCATACTGTTCCATACTGTTTCCTTTTCCGGATGTTGTGATGGAGGTTGATACACGGCAGGGTTCTTGCCTGATGTCAAAATTTGATCCTTGATCCTGAACCAGATTACGGATAGTTGAAGGCCAATGGTTCCCAAAAGTTGCCGACAAGACCCAGATCCTTGCAATGGCAATACCTGGCAACGGAATACGGTAGACACAAAACTGGAGAGTCTGGAGAGTCCCATGAAGTCCCATGAAGTCCCATGAAGTCCCATGAAGTCCCATGAAGTCCCATGAAGTCCCATGAAGTCCCCAGTCAAGCCGCACCTTTTCCTCCTGTTCTGGGCTTTGTACGTAGCTTTGGAGCTGAAGTTAGGGCTGCTTTGGAGCTAAAAGTAGTCCATGCAGACTCGAAACTGGGGACTCACAAGATGCACAAGATGTCACGAGTCACATGTTCGCTCTATCTCGCTCTTTTTCTTCCTGTGTTTGACAGTCCCGTGCCGCTTCATCCCTGAATGAACTCCTTTCTCATCCTTTCTCCAAACCAACCGCAGTTTTGTCGTTTTGCACCGGGCACAATTACCTGGAATATTGCGAAGCAGCCAGCTTGTGGTGGTTCTGGTCACGTTTTCATTTCCCGGTTGTGTCATGAAGGAAGCAGAGCTTGGCGAAGTGTTGAGATGCGGTGCAGCTTTGGTGCAGCTTTGGTCCCCTCTCTGATTGGTGGACTTGCCTGAGACTTGCAGGACTTGCTGTGAGGCTCTTCGCATGTATCTCCACTCTCCACAGGTCTCCACGCGACTTGTCTCGTTGTACCGTGTTGCCGTGTTGTGTCGCAACGGTGTCAGGTCGGAACCCCTTTCTGCTGCACCATTGACTTTGACACACTCGAGGAGCGGGTGGAGCGGGAGAGACACAGCGACAAGTGGACAGATTCCCACAAGAATGACTAAGTCTTGTGATGAATGGAATAAGAATGACTTAGCCGGAGGCAATGGGGAAAGGGACGCTGAAAAGCTGCGATTGATTTGTGACGCAAGGCAGAACATTTGCAGCAATAGTAGCCAGATGCATACATCACATGTCGGTTGTGTTCGCTTCTCATTCGCTTCTCAATCAGTAAGGGATACTTTTGCCATACAGCGTCATACAGCTGGTTTGGTAACATCAAGGACTTTGCATTGAACTTTGCATGTTTGCATGTTTGCATGACGCCGGTCAAGCTTTCGCATCCTAAAAATGCTGGAGATATTTCAGATATACTGAGATGATGAGTGGAGATAGCGGAGATTCTCCCATTTGGCTTTCGCCTTTTTCGCCTTTTTCGCCATCTTTCCCCTTTCGTCTCGCTTTCGGCAGGATGATACCGTGACAGTCCGAAAGAGGGATGATCCGATGACGGTCCCAGCATGGCTTGAGCGACGTTCAGTGAAGCACACGAAGAGACCAAACGAAGACGCCATACGAAGAGACCATACGACTGACGAAATATGACGAAGAAGGAACTCCAGCAAACCTTCTGACATTTTCTGACCTTGTTTGGTGTTTCCCAATCCATTTGATTGGATAGATATGGTGATTGAATATATTTGAGCGATTTGTAGAATGGACTTTTGTCTCATGCCCCAAGAGTTCCTTCGCACTCCCCTTTTCTTCCTTTTCTTCCAAAGCTGAAACGTTCACAATTTGGTGCATCTTCGGATGCAGCTGCCAGCCGCACCACCCTTTATCTATCTATCTATCTATCTATCCATCCATCCATCCATCCATCCATCTATCCATCTATCCATCTATCCATCTATCCATCTATCCATCTATCCATCTATCCATCTATCCATCTATCCATCTATCCATCTATCTACATATCCATCTATCCATCTATCCATCTATCCATCTATCCATCTATCCATCTATCCATCTATCCATCTATCCATCTATCCATCTATCCATCTATCCATCTATCTACATCTATATCTATCCATCTATCTACATCTATATCTATCCATCTATCCTTCTATCTATCCATCTATTTATTCATCTATCTATCATTGTATCTATCCATCTATCTATCCACCTATCTACATCTATCTACATCTATCTACATCTATCTACATCTATCTACATCCAGCTACATCTATCTACATCTATCTATCTATCTATACATCTATCTATACATCTATCTATACATCTATCTACACATCTATCTACACATCTATCTATACATCTATCTATACATCTATCTGTACATCTAACTATACATCTTTCTATACATTTATCTATACATCTATCTATACATCTATCTATACATCTATCTTTACATCTATCTACACATCTATCTATACATCTATCTAAACATCTATCTATACATCTATCTATACATCTATCTACACCTATCTACATCTATCTACATCTATCTACATCCATCTACATCTATCTACACATCTATCTACACATCTATCTACACATCTATCTACACATCTATCTACACATCTATCTACACATCTATCTACACATCTATCTACACATCTATCTACACATCTATCTACATCTATCTACATCTATCTACATCTATTTACACATCGATCTACATCTATCTACATCTATCTACATCTATCTACATATCTATCTACACATCTATCTACACATCTATCTACACATCTATCTACACATCTATCTACACATCTATCTACATCTATCTACATCTATCTATCTACCTATCTATCTATCTATTAATTTGTCTACCTATCTATCTATCTATTAATTTGTCTACCTATCTATCTATCTATCTATCCTATCTATCCTATCTATCCTATCTATCCTATCTATCCTATCTATCCTATCTATCCTATCTATCCTATCTATCCTATCTATCCTCTCTATCCTCTCTATCCTCTCTATCCTCTCTATCCTCTCTATCCTATCTATCCTATCTATCCTATCTATCCTATCTATCCTATCTATCCTATCTATCCTATCTATCCTATCTATCCTATCTATCCTATCTATCCATCTATCCATCTATCCATCTATCCATCTATCTACATATCCATCTATCCATCTATCCATCTATCCATCTATCCATCTATCCATCTATCCTATCTATCCTATCTATCCTATCTATCCTATCTATCCTATCCATCCTACCTATCTTATCTATCTTATCTATCTTATCTATCTTATCTATCTTATCCATCGTATCTATCTTATCTATCTTATCTATCTTGTCTATCTTGTCTATCTTATCTATCTTATCTATCTTATCTATCTTATCTATCTTATCTATCTTATCTATCTATCTATCTGTCTGTCTATCTATCTATCTAGCTAACTATCTATCTATCTTTCTATCTATCTATCTATCTAGCTATCTATCTATCAATCTATCTATCAATCTATTCTATTCTATTCTATTCTACTCTATTCTATTCTATTCTATTCTACTCTACTCTATTCTATTCTATTCTATTCCATTCTATTCTAGCTAATCTACCTAATCTATCTAACCTATCTAACCTATCTAACCTATCTAACTTATCTAACCTATCTAAACCTATCTAACCTATCTAACCTATCTAACCTATCCAACCTATCTAACCTATCTAACCTATCTAACCTATCTAACCTATCTAATCTATCTAATCTATCAAATCTATCTAATCTATCTAACCTATCTAATCTATCTAATCTATCTAATCTATCTAGTCTATCTAGTCTATCTAGTCTATCTAGTCTATCTAGTCTATCTAATCTATCTAATCTATCTAATCTATCTAATCTATCTAATCTATCTAATCTATCTACTCTATCTAATCTATCTAATCTATCTAATCTATCTAATCTATCTAATCTATCTAATCTATCTAATCTATCTAATCTATCTAATCTATCTAATCTATCTCTCTATCTACCTACCTATCTAATCTATCTAATCTATCTAATCTATCTAATCTATCTAATCTATCTAATCTATCTAATCTATGTAATCTATCTAATCTATCTAATCTATCTAATCTATCTAATCTATCTAATCTATCTAATCTATCTAATCTATCTAATCTATCTAATCTAACTAATCTATCTAATCTATCTAACCTATCTAATCTATCTAATCTATCTAATCTATCTAATCTATCTAATCTATCTAATCTATCTAATCTATCTAATCTATCTAATCTATCTAATCTATCTAACCTATCTAATCTATCTAATCTATCTAATCTATCTAATCTATCTCATCTATCTAGTCTATCTAATCTAATCTAACCTAATCTAACCTAATCTTATCTTATCTAATCTAATCTAAACTAATCTAACCTAATCTTATCTTATCTTACCTTACCTTATCTTATCTTATCTTTTCTAATCTAATCTTATCTTATCTTTATCTTATCTTATCTTATCTGATCTAATCTATCTATCTATCTATCTTACTTATCGATCTATCTTACTTATCTATCTAATCTATCTAATCTTTCTAATCTATCTATCTATCTATCTATCTGTCTATCTATCTATCTATCTATCTATCTATCTATCTATCTATCTATCTATCTATCTATCTATCTATCTATCTATCTATCTATCTATCTATCTATCTATCTATTCATCTATCTACATATCCATCTATCCATCTATCCATCTATCCATCTGTCCATCTATCCATCTATCCATCTATCCATCTACCCATCTATCCATCTACCCATCTATCCATCTATGCGAATGGGGATACAACCACAGTACAGTACACTATCCCCACATATGTAGTCATAGACTTCCAGCCAAGGGGCACACACAACGATGCTCCTTTGGCTCAAGTACCCATTACTGCAGAAGTCCGCCAAAAGAAAGCGATGCCGAAGCTGTGAACCGATCGTCATCAGCAAGGACAAATTCAACCCTAAACGACAGACATATCGGAGGTAATCTCCGATTCACAGGTTATCAGCCGTAGGTCTCCCACGGAGCCTACGAGCGGGTAGCCGCGGAACTTACAGATGGCTGAACAGGACAGCAGCGATAACGCATTTTCTTTCTCTGGACATGCCGCCGCACCAGCTGCCGGCACGCAGTCAAATTCTTCACAGAGTATCAATACTGGTGGAAGCGAAACCTCAGAACTGAGACCAAGCCTACCCAGACGACCTCTGGTTGCTCCGAGGGGGAGACAAATATCGACAATGCAAGCAATTGAAGATAGGGACAGCACACCTGGAAAGAGAAGATCATCTGCCCGACAATCGTCGCCTCCGATGACTCCAAGGACTAAGGCAAAGCCTACCTCATCGAATCCGCCTTCACCGATTCAGGACGCTACACCATCAGGGGTGGGATCTTATCAACAAGTGAATGCCCCATCAAGTGGTAGCGACATCTTCACTATCTATCAGAGCGAATTAGCAGAGTACAAGACATCACTAGACAGGGCTACTGAAGAAGAATCCGTGCTTCAAGCGCGATTGACTGAGACGGCTGCCTATGCCTATCAACAGTTTAATTTCCTGGAGAGTACCACTCATCAAGAAATGACATCGATGACTGAACAACTGCAGATCCTGAACTCTGAGTTGCAAGCCGCACAACAAGAAGACGAAGGTGCAACCTACAGGATCGAAGAGTTGGAGAGGTATCGAACTATGTCGAATGAAGCAGCATCTCATTTGGAATTTAGATATTCTCAACTACGTTCGGAATTCAATGAACAAATGGGACAAGCGAATGCAATCATGGTACATGTGGGTGCTGATGCGAATGCTCACATCAATCAACTCAGTCTGGAACTAGAGAACGCAGAGATGAACGCGAAGCAAGAGGCTCTAGCAGTCGGCTATGCCAACGACCAAACCTGTGCTTTACGTATCGAGATGCTCGAGGTTGCCAATCAGAACCAGACGATGAAGCACACTATGTCGATGAACGTCAGACGACTGGAAACTGAGCTCGATGCCGCTGACATGAAGAGGGATGAATTCATGAGAGAATTTCGTAGCAACATAAGATCTGAACATGACCGTTATGCCAAATGTGAACATCATTTAGCTTTGGAGGAATCACAACTGAGATTGCAAGTGGTTCACAATGAGAATCTGCACTCGCGATTGATGACATCAGAGAGCAAGCTTTCCGAAGAATCATCATCTGAGTCAAATGGCATGCGGGACATGAGGATAATGGGACTACGTTCGGAACTACACATGAAACAGAGCCTTTTGGACCGAATGCAACATCAACTAACTGAATCGAAGAATCAGTATCATGAACTTTCCTGCCAACAAGCAAGGAGATTATCACCAAGTAGATCACCGAATGGCGAACTACGACAGGAAATGTACATGCAAGCTGTACGTGAACGTGATAGTCTCAAAGCATCCAAAGCAGAAGTTGATAATTTGTACTCTCGAGCC